AAAAAAAAAAAAAAAAAAAAAAGAGAGTTAAAACCTCTAACTTTGACTAAGGATGAATATAAATTAATTTTAGACATGGATACTTTACACAAATATTGAGGACCAATAGTAAGAAGACAAAGAAATGGAATTGGGAATTTAGGAGCAAGAAAGAATGTTTTCAGAGTCAAATGTGAGGAGGAAAAGAGTTCTAATTTATTTATTTATTAATATACTTAAAAAAACATGAATTCAAAATGTCATCATGTAATTATCATTAATTTTTGCCCCTTTGAGAAAGGGGAGTGTAATTACCTCATTTTGATACTCAATTTCATATTGACTAAGTAATTATATATGAAAATAAGTATATCAAACTGTGTCATTTACTCAAACTTAATTGCAATAAAATTTTCAAAAAATCATTAAAAGTACATATTTGAGCGTTCAATTTGTTGGGCCCGTGCGCCTATCTAGTCTTTAGATAAATAAAACTTGATTTCTTCTCTTAATATTGAAAATTTGTTTTTTGCTGCTTCGTTTAATGTGAAAATATGGGTAATATAATGATATTACCCTGGGATTCATATCATTATTACAAAACCTTAATGGCTTTCAATTGTTTCGAATTAAATCAATAATCTAGGCTTTTTTCTTTTTAATTTACACACGCGTAAATGATAATTATAACTCTAAAATTACATTTAAACATAATGTTAATAAGCGGGATAGCATCTTGATCTCAACGGCAAATATTAACATTAGGCCTGTTAGTAAATCGAATTGATCAATAATTTAGGCTTTTTTCTTAAATTTACATACGCATAAAATAATGATTATAACTCTAAAATTATATTTTAAACATAATGTTAATAAACGGGTAACATCTTGATCTCAATGGCAAATAACGTTGGCCTGTTAGTAAATTAAAACTACTTTCTACCCAAAAAAAAAATTAAAACTACTTAGCATGTTTGTAAAAAACAACTTATGAACCAGTTACAAGAGTAGCATGTCCAAAATATGAATTTGCTCCAAAAGAAAATTACTGATACAATCAAACTTCTTTAGAGCAGATATATTTTATAATAATATTTATTGTAACAACTAAGTTTTATTGGAATTTTTATATTATACTTTACCTCTTTATAATAACTTTCTACCTATAACAGTAACAACCATCATTATAACATATGTTGCTCGAACTTTTCCAAAATGTCATCCGTTGCATGTCGGATTCTCCAAAAGTAATATATTTTTGGAGGACCTGACACGAATCTCATAACATTTGGAGAATCGTTATAGCATAGACTATAACAGTATATGTTTTGTAAAATGACCCTTCTATAACAACCTTACTCAAATATTAATTTGTTTTACTGTTTTCTACTTATATTGCGAGTCTTTTATTTCATAAAGAAAGCACTGGCACTGCCTTCCTATAACATCGACATATAGAAATAGCATATAAAATTACTAATAATAGGTCTACAAATTTTGAATAAATATTTTAAATTTTTCTAAACCACTTTTACCGAAGAATATATATTACATCACTATATACTTCGATTATTAAAGATTTTTCTGTTGAAAGATCTGCACATATTTTTATTTCATTGTACAAAAAAGTTTTTCACCTTTTAATTAGGATATATGAATATCTTTTCAGATATTAAATTAAAGATAATTTTATTTCTTTTATAACATTAAAAGATGAAAATAAATTAATTTTTTGAGTATAATTTTTTGTCTATAACAACCAAATACAATTTTAATTTTAAATATTATTATAGGTGCCAGCTAGTCGCTATAGCATAAAAAAGATGAGATTCTTGGCACCCAAAATCATACGAGTCTTTAGATATAATATCCAAACTATATTTCTTATTTTAAGAGCAGGAATGAAGATATTCGGGCGAAGGTGAGCGTCGCTCCCATTGATGTCAAGATGTGGGAAGTGAGCTCAGATGGTTCGGACACGTACAAAGGAGAAGCTCCGATGCTCTGGTAAAGAGGTGTGAGCGGCTGGTTTTGGAAGGCACGAGAAGAGGTAGAGGACGACCTAAGAAGTATTGAAGAGAGGTGATCAGGCAGGACATGCCGATGCTTCAAATTTTCGAGGACATGACCCTTGATAGGAAGGTGTGGAGGTCGAGTATTAGGGTTATTAGGTTAAGAGATAGTTGAGTCTTTCCTTACTTTGTCCCTTTGTGAGGATAGTCTGGTAGAGTTTCTATCGAAGTTAGCCAGTGGCAATATTGTGTCTTACTACTATTTCGTTTTTCCATAGTGCCGGGTCTATATACTATCTATCATTTTTCCTTTGCATCTACTTTCTTATTTTCATGCTGTTATTTTTTATGTTTTCTGTTGGTGGTACAACTATTGTCTCTTTTCGTCTTCTGAGCCGAGGGTCTTTCGGAAACAGTCTCTCTACTTCTTCGGGGTAGGGGTAAGGTTTGCGTACACACTACCCTCTGTAGGCATCGAAATTTTGACGGATCAAGCTAAATCTTAAATTCAAGATACTACAAGACTCTTGAAATTCTAGGAGTCTATTAGAGTTTCTTGGAGGTTACTCTACCCTAAACCCTAACGTACACCTATATAAAGGGATACATATTCCCTTGAAGAGGAGTCTAAAAAAAAATCTCATAAATTCTCGGGATATTCACAAAGGGATCAAGGCATAAAATAATGTCGTGATCAATAGATGTTCTTCTTGATAATCAAATACTTCAAGAAGAACATCCATAAAATGATCGACTTTCATGGAGATCAAATAATCCAGAGAGGTTCGTATCGTCTTACGTTCGAGGATACGTTGGATCGAATCACGGAGAACAATTCGGAGGAAGAATCAAGGGAACAAACAGAATTGTACCCTCATTATTTTATCAATAAAATTATGTTTCTTCATATTTATATTGTTGTTGCAATTTATTTTTGGGTCGGTGTTATTGTTGTCGTCTTTTGGCTGCTTCTTTAGTTCTTTTAATGTGAAAAATATAGGTAATACAATGATATGACGATGTGATTTATATCCTTATTACAGTACCTCTCGATTGTTTCTAATTGAGCAATAATTTAGGCTTATTAGAATAATAATAATAATAATAATAATTATTATTATTATTTACATACACGTAAACAATGATTATAACTCTAAAATCACATTTAACCTATAATGTTAATAAGAGGGATAAGGAAGAATTACGTCTTGTTCTCAAAGGGCAAATGTAACTAACATTTGGTTTTGGCCTCTAAAAATAGAGCTATTTAACAAGTTTGCAAAAAAAAAAAAAAAAAAAAAAAAAAAAAAAAAAAAAAAAAAAAAAAAAAAAAAAAAAAAAAAAAAAAAAAAGAAAAAAGAAAAAAAACTTATGAACAACTTACAAAAGTAGAACGTTTTCAAAAAATATGATCAATTTGCTCAAAAAAGTAAATTAAGTAACTATTTTGAGAAGTGGGAACAAGACTTCGGGGACACCCTAAAGTTTTTTCTATATTAAAAAGGTCATTAAGTATAATTCCAAGTATTTTTTACATTTCCAAAACATCTTACACAGTTTGATCTTACCAGACAGTTTTTATACTATTATTATAATTAAGTGGAACATTTAGGACTTTGCATTTTTGTGACAATATTTCAAGAACCCAAACCAATTATTTTTCTTTATTAGCACAGGTTAATTATGACATTGTAATAAGTGCAATAAAGACTCATAAAAACTTGGGGATTATGTATTTAATAATCAACTAATTATAGCAATATTAAAATAATATTCTTCCTCCCTGATCTCACACAACGAAAAAAATGAAGGACTTTTATACTAATATAACCTCATGATATATAGCCATAATAAAACGGACAGCGTGAATAGCCCACACAGTCGAAAAAAAAGGAATAGCCCGCAAAAACGCATAACTGAAATTTAAAACACAATCCAATTGATAGAAACTCTAGGCACCAAAATTGAAACTGAAAAGCATATTCCCCTAACAATCGTTGACTAAGTACTTGCCTCTCTATATGATATATTAAATCAATAGTAATGTTAGTGGCAAAGCTAGAATTTTTTCCCAGAGTATTCAAATTTGAAAGAAATGAAAAAAACTTTTCGACAAAGGACGTTCAATATGTATTATATACCTCTAAAACATTGTATTTTACCTATGTATACAGTGCAATTTTTCGACAAAGTTGACCGCCCTTATGACTATATGGCTTCGCCACTAATTAATACAATGCAAAAGCAAACAAATAAGTCCCCCCTCCCCCCTCCTTTTTACATAATTAACAACGAGAATAAATAATCAGATCAAACTTGTAATATTACAATTCTAATTACGGATTAAGACAACTAAGCTGACCCCTCAGAACAACGTATGAAAATAAATAATCAGATTAAACTTGTATTATTAACACTTAAATTATGGATTATGACAACTAAGCTATCCCTTCAAAACAACGTGAATGTTTCGTAAGAAAACAATTGGCATGAAAATGCAAGGTTGGATTTTCCTCAATCGAAATTAAATTTGTGATGAATAAAGGTTAAATTTATAAATTTGGCTTCTCACAAAAGGAAAAAAAAAGTAAAAAGTAAAGGGGGAGAATTGGTCAAAAAAAATTTCTACTTTTAATGGTCCATTTTCCCTCGTCTCCTCTATATTTGTATTTTGTTATAATATTAACCAAGTCATCAACACAACAACAGCTGTGGTGGCAACATCTTCTCTGTTAAGGCCAAAGAGGGGGTGGTGGGGTATAGATGTCCCCATTCTTTTATCAGCACGAGAAAATCCACACCTTTCTTTATCAGCCATAGCATTCTTAAATTCCCGCTTCTTATTGAATTCCTGTCTCTTTCTTTACTCTTAAGAGGGAAACTGTGTGTATCCTCTGTGTGTGTACATCAAATAGAGTTATGTCTACAGAAGAAGAAAAAGTGAGTTTAGAGAGAGAAAATGTAGTAGAGAAAGAGAGTGAAGAATTAGTAGAAGGTAGAAAGTGTGTAAAAGGGGGAGGAGTTAAAGCCGGCGTTGTGGTGGTAATGGACACTCCAGAGAGGAAAAAGAACCAGATCGCAACACCTATTTCCAAATTTGAGGTTTGAATTTTTTGCTAATTTCTTGAATATTTTTTTGACTTGTGGGTTTCTTCTGTTACTGATTTGTTTCCTCTAAGAGCCTAAAGTTTGAGTCTTTTTGTTAATCTTTTAAATCGTTTTTTTTCGGGTATGGAATTTTTGGTATTATGGACTTGTGGGTTTTTGGTTTATTACTGATTTGGTTTCTCCAAGAGCCTAAAGTTTGTATCTTTTTGCTAATTTTTGATTGTTTTGGAATCTTTGGTACTGTTGCCTGATGGGTTTTGTGTACTGAAGTTTGATTTGTTGTATTTTTGGGTTACTTTGAAGGTTTAGATTTTTTGGTTATTTTGAAGGTTTAGATTGGGTCGATTACTGGAATTGTTGGGTTCTATTTCCTCTTTCCTTCTTTGTTTTTGATGTGTTTTCTAGTGGTAGTTTTGTTTATTTGCTTGTACTTGACCTCTGTCAAATTTTAGAGAAACTGATTTTCTGTGTAATTGGTAACAATAATGACTTCTTGATTTCTTAGATTTGCTATCTTTCTGGTGTCTAAAATGCTTCACGACTTTGGTTATGTCGCTGGAATTGTTTATCTTATCATTTTCTGAGTTTGCATGTTTTGCTCGCTTTTAGATTTGGATGCTTGGTGATGCATTTTAATTCATTAATTAAATAAAACTTCTTCCTTTCCATTCCGCTAATTTCTAACTAATTTTTCCTTTCATTAGTTAATTCATTACTGTTTTAAAATTTGGTGAAGTTTATTTGGTCTTGCATTGTGAGATTATCTTGTTGAGATTTTTTTCATCTGTGCCTTATAGTGTCATAGTTTTCCTTACTCTGTATCTGGAAATGTTGTGATTAGTTGTCTGTCTTGATTGTTCTGGGGATTCAACCGTTGGTTCTGCTGTCTAATTGTCGATTGAATTTCATGACATTTTCGTCTTACTTAGTTTACTCCCTCGGGGTAAGGGTAAGGTCAACGTACACTCTACCATCCCCAGACCCCACTTGTGGGATTCTACTTGGTCGTTGTTGTTGTTGTTGTTGTTGTTGTTTCGTCTTGCTTGGTTTGGATTTCCTCGATTGTAAATGAGCTGTGGGTGAAGGAGTTGTTTTATAAGAAGGTCAATTAGCAAAGATGAAATATGCAGCTGCCATTTCATGTATTTGCTGGAAATTGACTTTTTTCTTGGATTGCTGTATCTCACAAAGAATTCTTTAGGTACACTAATTAATTTCCAGGTATTTTTGGAAAATTTGCACATGCCTCTAATTAACTCATGAGGCAAATAAGCTGCTCTACATATGATTAATAAAGAGCGGGAATGAACCAAGTTCGTTTTTCTACTGTGCTCGTTATGTGGTCTATTATCTCTGACATTTACTTGATATCCTTTACTGATCTTTTGCATAAGGATTAAAGATAAATAAATATATCATTTGGAAAAGGGTTAAGCTTGTTCCTTGGTTGAAATGCTGAAACCCAGTTTTGATGAAATTATCACTTAGCTTGTTTTCTTGTATTCTCGATCTCTTGCTATCTAAAGGTCTTTTTTTCTCTCTCTATGCAGGAGTCCCCCGTTTTTAATTTCCTTAACAACCTTTCCCCCATCAAACTAGATAAGTCCGCACACTTTACTCAGACGCTCAATTCCCTTAGTTTTGCATCTATACCGTCTGTGTTCACCTCACCTCATGTCAGCTCCATAAGGGAATCTAGATTCCTAAGAAGGTAATCAATGTTTGTTTTGATCTGGTATTGCAACTTCTTTTGGATCGACNCAGACTTGTTTGTTTGTTGACTTTGTTGTTTTTTCGTCAGGCACCTGCTCTCAGATCCATCAAAACCGGAGTTTGCTTCTGATAATGGTGTTAAAGTTGATACTGATGAGGGTATGTTAGATACTGTAAATAACTCAATTGAGCCCAAGGAAAGTTTTGGTTGTGGGATTTCTGGGGGTGAAGCACCGGCTTCACCATCCCATGAATGCTCAAAGCTTGCAGTTGAGCTTGCAAGAAGTCTAAATTATGAGTGCAGCAGTCCCAGTACTTTACCGACTGGGGGCATAAGAGGTAAGAGTTTGTCAGAATTTGCTGGTACTTCTGTGACATATGTCCCTTTGGTACAAGAGATATCTGGAAAAGGTTTGCTGAGATGTGAGGTTAATATGGACGGGACAAATGAAATTGTTCAAGATAAAGAAGAAGCTTCAGGATGTGATTGGGAGAGTTTGATTACTGATGCTACCGATCTACTAATCTTTGACTCACCTGGTGACCCTGAGGCTTTCACGAAAGCATCAGGTCCTAATTTTAGGACTTTTGAATATGTCTCAAATGAAATGCAGAATGTGCAACATTTTAGTCAGGTTAGTACCAGTGAATGTGGTGGAGATGGAAGTGAAACAGAGAAACCATCTACTCAACCCGGGGAGGAAAGTCAACTCAAGGAATATGCTGACGCTGAAAACACGAAACCTGATGCTTCTCTAACCAATGACAGCATGTGTGTCGGTCAAAGTGAAAAAAATGATAATGAGGTGAGGAGTTCGCATACTGTGAACTAGTTTATTGACACCGGTGTGCTTTTACCGTTATTACATGAGATAGCAACTGCTTTTATTTTTTTGAAGTTGCGGCGTTTTCCATTTTTCTTTTCCTTTAATCATCTCTTCCTATATTATGACTCTTGTTTTAACTGCAATTTTTACTTGGGAAACATCATTTATACATGCTGTTTTCTATCTATGCATATATAATCAGTAGCATGATTATACACTTATGTTATACATTCTTCATTGGCATCTTGTTGACTTACTACAGAGTACATTGGTTTTGCTGTTGAGCTGATCATCTGAGGGGCACCAAGTTTTTAGCTTTCAAAGGAATGTTCCGTGACATTTGATATTATGTTTAGGATACAGATGTTTGTGGTATTATTTTTATCCTATCCCTTGGATATGGAGATTTTCTGAGTCAGATTATGCTCTTAAAGGAAAATTTTCAGACACTACGTTGTTTTTGACAAGTCTGTGGTTGTCTGGAACCTTGACTTTTGTCATCAGCATTCTGCTGGAACCATTCGACTGGTTCCTGAGTAATGTAAGATACAACATATTTTAGCTTTGCACCAATTCAAGGAAATCTTGGTTGATGCAGTCATTCTTGCCAGAAGATGGAGAAAAGTATTCAAACATAGTGTATGTTTGTTAATGGTTTAGCTAATCTTGAAGTTGTTTAATTGATCGTTCTAGCTTTTATCAAATAGCTGCGAGCATGTTTCACATTGACTTTCAAGTTCTCCATTTTGTGATCTTGATCTTACCGGTTTTCTATTTAGATGGTCTCTGCTTTATACCGTGGAATGAGAAGACGCTGTCTAGTGTTCGAGATGGTGGGACCTCGAAGAAAGCATATAGATGAAGGTTCTGGTTCTTCTGCTGCACAAGAAGCTGATGGGAACGTTGCCTCCAACGATAAGCAACTAGTACCTTCTAAGACTGTAAATGAATATCCACGATGCACTTTACCTGGAATTGGCTTGCATTTGAATTCCCTTACAGCATCCTCAAAAGATGGCAAAGTTGTCAAGCAAGAAGCTAATGCTTCCGGCAAACAGCTTGTAATAGCATCTGGCTCATCTATCAATCTTCATTCTTTGGTTACTGGTCAAGAATCTCTGGTTAAATCTCTGCCTGAAACCTCTAGAGGAGGAGAAATTGTTCCTTTTGAGAATAGTTTACCCCTTATGGAGGATGTTCTCCAGGCACCTGGATATGTAAATAGTGAAGAGCCTAACCAGACTAGTCCGAAGAAAAAGAGGCATGGCCCTTTTTCCTTTTGATCTTAGTTTGTTCTTGTGATCTCTGTTTTTGCTCCACCATTATCTGATTAAAAACTGTTTTTGCAGGCGTCGATTGGAAACTGGAGAAAGTGAATCATGCAAGCGCTGTAACTGTAAAAAATCAAAATGCTTGAAACTGTAAGTTATTATCCTCCTTTCATGTGATATCTTTAGTATGTACTTAGTTTTCGTTATATTTTCATGACATGACTTGTGTATTAAGTACTTAAATGAGCTGCCGGTTGTTCAATTGAATGCCATTATCTTCCTGAATTATATGTGTGCTTGACTACGAGGTTATTTGGTTAATGAGAAGTGATGTAGAACTAAGTTGCTCGGACTCTTCACTTTCGGCTCCACACCCTTGTCGACATGACGTGGGTGTGGGTATGGGATCCGTGCCGGATTCGGTCAACCGTTTTTGTGTACTTTGACCAAAATTGACAAAGAAATTCGGGATAGATACAATGATTTCTAAAAACAAAACAAAAGCTAAGGTGAAATTGAAGAAAATGGAATACCTTGTATATAGAGATTTTTATGTCAGTCCTTGTCCTTTTATCTCCTTCTCGAATTCTCGTCTTGATTAATATTTTCTCCTTCTCAGAATACTGTGTTAGTTTTCCACATATCATCTTATAATTTAGACATATTTTTAAAATCTATTTTTAGATATTTTAATTATTTGTAGCCGAATTTCTGCACTCTTATCCGTATCTGGATCCGTATTCCCAAATCTTAAAATCTAGATCATGAAGGATCCGATCTCTAGATCCGCACCCATATCGGACACCCCATCCGAGTCCGAGCAACTTAGATGTAGAGTATATAAATACGTAAGTTATAATACGGTGAAGTATAATCACTAGATTAGTTAGTGGATATGCATATCTTGTGGGGACGTTCGGTTCAATGCCTCAAAGGTTGGATATACAGCCTAAAATCTAAAGCATGTCCTGGTTTTTAACCGGATAAAAATTTGTCACATACATTGCCCTTGGTCTGTACCTATGTTGCGCGGACTCTCCAAAATCTTGCCGCATCCGTGGCGGATACTTCTAAAATACACTAATTTTGGAGTATCCGACACGCATCCGGGTATATTTTTGGAGAGTCCTAGCAACATTGGTCTGTACATCACGTATTATTAATTCAAAGAATTATTGTTTGATAAAAGTCTATGCTCAATGAAGATTGTTATAATGAACAATATGCAATTTTTGTTTGAGATCAAATTTGTACCCTGAAGCTTTTGAAATTTTAGAAAAACTAAAACTGTGTGATTCAAAAGCAAAGAATTACTTTAGTAATTAGTGCAATAAACAAGTTTGAGCATAAAAATTCCTTAAATAAAAAATTATCAGAAGTTCTTATTATATCATACATTATGATTTTCTTTTATGAACATTAAGATTTTTTTAATTACAAAAAAAGGCTTAATTCTTTATTTATCAAAGCTTAATTGACTTTATAGTAAGCCAGCTTACTGTTCTTACTCTATATGCCTTACTTTTAAAGTAAGCTGGCTCACTATTTCTATCTAGGCATTTCAGTTTAATGTAAGCCGGTTTATCTTTATTATTGAAAATAAATCTGAGTTTAAAGGGTATTTTATGATGTTATTTATTCTATGTATTGCTCATACATATATTCTTATTCCACTATCCCATCCCACATAAAATAATTCATAGATTTTGCACAAGTTATGCATGCATTATTCATAGGGAAAACGAAAAACACAACCCAACTTTATCTTAGTCATAGAGTTCTATGGCAAGATTATCTTTTCTTATACAAGACACCAAGCAAGCCCTAGAGGAAATGTTTGCTGTGAGTGTCATGCTACAAAAGCATGATCCGGAGCTGTTAAAATAGGTTCTTACCTATGTTGCTCGGACTCTCCGAAAATGTAGCCGGATACGTGTCGGATCCTCCAAAAGTAGTGCATTTTTGAAGGATCCGGCACGGGTGCGGCTACATTTTGGAGAGTCCGCGCAACATAGGTTCTTACCATGAAACAAACTTCTTATGATAACTGAAGGTAGCTCTTATGTTGGATGCTTTTCTGACGTCTATGAGTTTGAGATGACCTGACCAGAAAATGCTTCCCAACTTCTTGGACATGTGGTTACTGCCCCTACCATCTGTGTGTAACCCAGAAGAGAAATATTCTGGATTGAGAATTTAAGATGTAGAATGTGTTTTGCCATAATTGAAGTGGATATTTGTGATCTAGGTAATTAGACCTTATAGAAGATATAGACCCTCTCTATTTAACAATTCATATTTCACTTGTCAATGCAGTTACTGTGAATGTTTTGCTGCTGGAGTCTACTGTGTGGAGCCATGTGCATGTCAAGACTGCTTCAACAAGCCTATTCATGAAGATACTGTCCTTGCAACTCGCAAACAGATCGAATCACGAAACCCTCTTGCTTTTGCTCCTAAAGTGATAAGGACCACCGACTCTCTTTCTGAAACAACAGGGGTACGGAAAAAATTCTCGGCTTTCATTCAGCAGATATTTGTTGTTTCACTTAAGTCATAAACCATGTAATTTAACTGCATTGCAGGATGATTCCAGCAAGACTCCTGCCTCAGCTCGTCACAAGAGAGGATGCAACTGCAAGAAATCTGGCTGCCTGAAGAAATATTGTGAATGCTATCAGGTCCAACCCCCC